GGAAATCCACCCCAAAGCCACGAATGATCTCCCCCAGCGGCTTTACATAAATATTGAACAAAAGGGGGGAGAGGACCGACCCCTGAGGCACCCCACAAGTTAGGGGCCTAGGAGTCGACCTCTGTCCCCCTGCCAATACCGACTGCGTACGGTCGGTGAGGAAGGAGGAGAACCACCGCATAACGGTGCCTCCCACTCCCAACCCACCGAGACGCCGCAGCATGATATCGTGGTCTACAGTATCAAAAGCCGCTGAGAGGTCCAAAAGAACAAGGACAGAGGAATAACCTCTGTCCCGGGCCCTCCAGAGATCATTAACCAACGCGACCAATGCCGTTTCCGTGCTGTATCCCGGCCTGAAGCCCGACTGGTATGGGTCTAGATAGACTGATTCATCCAGGTGCCGAGGGAATTGCCGTGCAACCAGATACATGGTCTGTTCTATACCAAGACCCAGCAAAGACCTTCAGACTAAACCTATTCTGAGAATATATTATAGAGGTAAGGACAGGATTATTTAAATATTAAAACTAATGCCAACTCTGTAAAATCAAGCCTTCATACTAAGTTCCTTAAATATATGAACTAAAACACAATTTAGTCGAGTAAGACTGAAGTATACACCCTCCTTGTTTCCAAATAAATTACTATTAATTGCTCTATTTTCCCCCCTAACCCTGTACTTTAAATCTTTGGAAATGTGTGAATAAAAAGAGAAACAGTCCACACTTACCTTTTCAACAGAGCTCTAATATGTACCATATTGCACTGCAAAATATATGATGGGCTACAAGAGAATGATGTATACATGTAAGAATAATTTATCAGATAAAAGCAGTCACTTTCAATATCTAAACAATGAACATAATAAGCTAGAACAGTGTTTCTCAATCTTGACAATTTTAAGGCATATGGACTTCAACTCCCAGAATTCATATGGACTTCAACTCCCAGAATTCCACAGCCAGCAATTCTGGGAGTTGAAGTCCACATGCCTTAAAATTGTCAAGGTTGAGAAACACTGAGCTAGAAGATTCAGCAAACAAGACTCAATAAAAAATGGTAGATGTGCTCCCGGTAAGATGGTGAATTGCTGAACAGTTCTCCTCTCCCTCCATCCGTCTCGCCCTCCTCTCTTTTACTCTATTTCTCCCTCCTTTGCTTTTAAGGAAACTTTGTGTGTTGTTATACCAGACACTGGAGTAAAACATAATCTGTGGTCCTAATATGACCCTTACTGGTAATAAATAAAGATGGCTATTCAGAAGAGTCCATTTCAATATACTAAAATAGTAGAATCTATAGAGAAATAATCAATGTGAAGGAGGTGGTATAATTTATGCACATATTTTTCATGCTGGGGAGGAAGTTAGTCCCCCCCTCCCATTTATTTCTTTTTTTAATATTCATATCTTAAGAGGGCGAGATAGGTGGCTACAATCTTAGAATGTCTTTGCTTAGAAACAGGGGTGGGGGTGAGAAATCCCTTTTTTCTTCCTTTTGTTTATTCATACAGGAACAGGCAGACTGTTCTTTAGTTATGACCATAGTTCCTACCATAATACATAACTATTCATAAACATGCTGATAAATAGAAATGCTAATTGGAGTTTGTATTGTATGACATTTGCATTATATCTGTTAACACTGATGAAGAAGTCTCAATTGCTAGAATATTTGTATTTTAACCAAATGTTAGGATTTAGTTTAATCATCATTCCTCACAATAAACATTTTCAGTGTTGATTTTTCTTTGGCTAAATAAGAGGCATAACTAAGTCTGGAGAAGATTTTTATAAATTGAAGATGATGTAGTTTTAAGTGGCTTTGGTTTTATTGGAAGAAACTCACGCTGTCCTTTATGAGAAACATCAATTATATACTTAAATAGTTATTAGAGCATATTAACCAGCTTTACTGTGAAGGGTGAAATCTTCGGGTACTACACTGTAAACTTCTCATTTAAAACAACTGGAACAATAAGAGATACATAGGGGATAATGCATAGTGATCAAGCAGAAACTAATTGTCCCTTTTTTTGGAATTTTATAAGAATGTATATTCTGGAAATATTATAAGTCCCAGAGAGAAGCCTTTTTAAATAGAACTAATCTTTCAGAAACAGCTACTTTGGCAAGCTTAACGAAAGCATTACTTTCATTAATTCATCCTGCACAATCTGACTTTATGAAAGGGCCTATTAGACTGCTAGTAGATTTATTATAATTCCACAATGACAGAAGATGAAGCAGTAGTTTTGGCATCATTAGATGCAGAAAAAGGTTTTGAAAATATGTAATTCAAGTTTCTGGTACAAGTGATAAAGAAATTGGATTTTCTTTAGAATTTATCTCTGGATAGAAACAAGTGATTTTGTCCCATTTTTATTACGGAGGAGATAGTCCTAATGGGATAATAAAAATGAGACAGGACACATGCCAACAATGCCCCCACTTTTTGCAAATTTTAATATAGTAATCTTTCAGACTCTTAATAAAACAAACATGTCACATTCAAGGACTGTGCAGACCAGATTTTGAATGTAAGTCAATGCTATACGCTGATTCTATTTCCAGTAGTTATCAATTATTTTTATTTAAAATTGTGGAAACGATATAGCTGCTGTATGGAAAATATTTTGGGATTACATTACTTTTACAATAAGTTTAAGATGATGCCAATTGGTAACAACCTCCTATAGAAGTAGGTAAAAATTTAGGGTTTGTACTTTATTTGAGTCTATTTTAACATCTGGCAATTTATTAGGGAAATATCTTGTTCAGTAGAATTGAATATTTCAGACTGGATGTTACTTCTACTTTTAGGCATTTGATTTATTTAACAGTGGCTTAAATAAAATTAAAGGTATGACCTTTTTTCTCAACTATTACTAATTATACCATTTTATGCTAGTATGATCAGTTATTGATTTATTTGTAAATTTTATTAGCCACCATCTTACCGCACAGTAACTCTGGGCAGTTTACAATATTAAAAGATAAAACTATATAAATTTCTAGCTAGTAATATAAATACAATGTTTATATTGTGTGTGTATGTGTACCGTATTTTCTGGCGTATAAGACGACTTTCTAAACGCTGAAAATCTTCTCAAAAGTCGGGGGTCGTCTTATACGCCCAGTCGTCTTATATGCCGGAAAATACAGGATTCTATTTTATTCCTTTATATAAGCTGAGGACGCGATGGGGGCGGCAGCCGGGAGCTGCTGCCTCCTGTCCTGCTCTCCCTCCCTGGACGCGATGGGGGCAGTGGCCGGGAGCTGTTGCCTCCCGTCCTGCTCCCCCTCCCCGCCCATTCGGCTGAGGATGTGGCGGCCAGGCTGGGGGCGGCATGGACTCCCGATGATGCTGTAGTGGCCGCTGCCATGCCGCCGCCGGAGCCGCTGCCTCCCGTCCTGCTCCCCCTCCCCGCCCATTTGGCGCCGTCTGCCTTTCATTCTCTCTCTCTCTCTCCTAACCTGGAGGGAGAGGGAGAGGGAGAGGGAGAGAGAGAGAGAAAGAGAGAAAGAGGAAAGAGAAAGAGAAGAGAGAGAAAGAGGAAAGAGAGAAAGAGGAAAGAGAGAGAGGAAAGAAAGAGAAGAGAAAGAGAGAGGAAAGAGGGAAAGAGAAAGAGGAAAGAGAAAGAGAGGAAAGAGAGAGAAAGTTAGAGGAAAGAGAGAAAGAGAAAGAGGAAAGAGAAAGAGAGGAAAGAGAGACAGAGAGAGAAAGAGAAGAGAGAGGAAAGAGAAAGAGATAAAGAGGGAGAGGAAAGAGAGAGGGGGAGAGGAAAGAGAAAAAGAGGAAAGGGAGAGAAGGAGAGGAAAGAGAGAAAGAGAGGAAAGAGAGAAAGAAAGAGAGGGGGAGAGGAAAGAGAGAAAATGAGGAAAGAGAGAGGAAAGAGAGAGGAAAGAGAGAAAGGAAAGAGAAGAGAAAGAGAGGAAAGAGAAAGAGAGGAAAGAGAAAGAGGAAAGAGAGAGAGACAGAGAAAGAGAGAGCAAAGAGAGAGAGAGAAAGTTAGAGGAAAGAGAGAAAGAGGAAAGAAAGAAAGAGAGAGAGGAAAGAAAGGAGAGAGGAAAGAGAGACAGAGAGACCCTTTTGACATCTAAAATGAAGATAACACTGCATATATCCTTTTTTACCTTTATTTTATATATACACACACAAACATACACACACACACACACACATATATCATAAAGGTAAAAAAGGATATGTGCAGTCTTATCTTCATTTTAGATATCAAAAGGGTTTTGCGGTTCCCAGTGTTTTGTTTTTGGTGGGAAACGTGTCCAAGTGGTTCTTTGAGTGTTTTGGGTTGCCTACCCCTGATATAGCCCAAACTCTATATTTTAACTGGAAAAGTTGGGGGTCGTCTTATACGGCCAGTCGTCTTATACGCCAGAAAATACGGTATATTGTGCATTTATATTATGTATGTATGTATGTATGTATGTATGTATGTATGTATGTATGTATGAATGAATGAATGCAATACTATAAAAAAAACAACCTGGCTAAAAAGATGGAGAGGGAGGGAGTATGATGAGAAGCAGGGGGTGAGACCCATTGTTAAACTATCAGAGGTGGGATCTGTTGTTAAACTATCAACCACCTCCATGTGATACCCCTCCATTTGAACCCCAAGCCAACTGACAGAACCAGGTCTTTATGCTCATGGAAGGTAGAGATGATTTAAAAATCCACTGAAATTAATATCTTTCAAAAACTAAATGCAAGATATACCAAAGTTAGGTACTATATGCCAACCATATTTTTTTCAGAGAAAATATAACTGTACTTAGGAGTGTTCAAAGCTCATGTGTCAAACAAGGAACTATCTAAAAGAATATGGCAACCAATCTGAACATCTAAAATGATTTATATACTAAATTGCCTATGGGGCCTGATTTTGTCTATGGGGCCTGGTATAAATGTTATTCCCTTAAATAATCTCATGCCCCTAAATGAGAGGGATCTTTTGCCAAGCATTCCTATTGAGTTGGTCTGGAATACAGAGTCTTCTATGCCCCAGTCATTTAGCCAAATAGTAATTTCCAAGCCTACAAAAATAAGAACAATGTTGTACTTACTTGAAAACTACTGGGAGGCAGTCAATACCAAAACAGTCCTGAACAAATACTATATAAGACAGACACGCCAAAGCATCTGTAGATTGTTCCTTGTCCATTTTCCATAAGTCTTCATTATCCCAGCTTTCACTTTTGCATGTTGACTGAAAACGCACTTGTGGAAATAATTCTCTAATATCCGCTAAAATTCTCTGTTAAAAGAAACAGAATTATCTCCTGCTGCAAATAGAGTACTACTTTTCATGACTAAGCATCTTAATACTGAAACATATTGAAATGCACCCAAATATAATGTCTAAGCATGAATTTCACTCCCCCTAAAAATATCTAAAGAAGAAAAATATATGTGCCTTCCTTAATGTCTCATCTCTTTATGTACTATTCAAGGACGTTCATAGTTTTTACTGTATATAATACTGTAGTAATATGCAAGCTCCCATTCACGGAAGCTTGTGCTGCATGAAAATAAAAAGCCTCTGGCTTCAAACACCATAGCTCAGATGCCAGAGCAAGAAGTTCACAATGACTTCAAAGACACATGGGGAAAGAGATCTGTGAGCTTCCTGTTTTGAGGCTACAGAGATCCAAAATCCACTCATTTGGAATCTAGCCTCACTGAATGGGACAGGTGAAGGAACATTCCCCCCCCCCCGTTATGGTGATAAGTCATACCGTACATACCTGCAGAGGGGCAAGCAAAGAGAAAGAAGTGGAAGAGATTCTCAATCATTTAAAAAAACAAAATAGGTAGCCTGGAGCATACCCTGCCTTGCTGGATAAAATCTTTGGCTTGAAAGAAAGTGGAGAGAGAATACTTAAGAATGCCTGGGAGAAAAAAAGAGGGGAGGAAAAGTTGCATGCAAAATGCAGACTGGAAAAAGATGAGCTGGTTTTGCTAAACTGAGAAGCAGAGAAAAGCAATGCTCAAATGGAGGGGTCTTTGGCAAACAGGATGCCTGGAACTGTGGCAAAAGCAAAACTAAGCAAAACAGGCAGCAAATTCCACACTCACTCACACTGGTGTTACCTAGTTGGGTAATGAAATGTCTGCAAGGAAACAACCAAGCTCAGAGAGCACCAAGAAATCAGCCGTCTATCCCTGACCTACTTTTCTCTTCTATTAAAATTAAATTTCCCTGGGACAGGAGGCGAGGGAAGCACTGAATTATGGTCTAAATGTCTCTCAGGAATCAACAAAACCTTAAGCAAATTGTTTCTAAAACTTCAGTTGAAGAGATGGAGACAGGAATTGCAAGGATGGAGTCACCTTGCAGAGAGATGGGTGGCAAACAAATTTAATAAATAAAATTAGCCAAGAAAAGCAAGCTAAGGAAATACTCTAACAAACATTTTAGGCCTGGATTTGTGTTTGTAGTATTTTGTTTTCTGGTGTGTTAGGTCTACCAGTTTTCAAAAACCGTCTCTGATTTTGGAAAGAGAAGGTTTTGCCTTTATGCAAATTCCATTTATATACATTTTGTCTCATTTAAAAGATATTTAAGCCTTCATTGTGGATCTCTGCTTTTTCTCTTCTTCTCAATTGTACATGTAAGCTCATGTTCAAATAAAAAGCACATAGACAAGTTTATACTGTAGCAAATAATCAGATCAGCAGCATATATAAGCAAGCAATGATGCAAAAAATAACAAGTCCTGATGGCATTGCACAAACAGCATGCTTATTATGTAATAATGCCATTGATATACGACACAAGGTCTCTCACATCTTTGAGATGACATAATCAGGTGCTTGTGATTCCCTATCTCTTTGTAGCTCCCCTCCAGGGGACACTACTAATGAAGCTGCAGAGAACAACTTCTTTCTGCATGGTAAGTGAAATTCATCTGTACCATCTTTACATTTCTTCACCTCAGGGGGCTGTTTGTAGTTTCCTTATCTGAATCGGCCTGCTTTCAACAATGCTATTCATGAATCTTGATAAATGCAGATAGGAAGCCAAAGTTTGCAAATCATTTTGCAAATAACTGTTAAACTCCATTTACAACTGAGGCAGACAAAAAAGACACCTCCCAAGGTGGACTTACAACTATCTCAGCTGCAAACTGCCTAAGGGGATTCTCAGCCATCTCTTCCTCCAATAGATCAAGCTCTGCCATTAGCAATGGATACTTTAAACTTTTCAGGCAACTGAAAACAAAAGTAGAGCACATCAGAGAATCAGTCAAGACACGGAAATAATTAGAGCGCCAGCACAGACCTTTATTATTTGAGGTATTTTAGAACTAAGAACCAACAGAATGGCCATAAATGAAAGTGTTAAAGAATCTCAAACTTTTCTTTACAGAATCCACTAGTATTATCCAGAATCAACGTGAAACTAGTGAAACATTGTAGACCCAGTATCTCAATCCCTCTCTCCTCCTAAAATACGAGTTCAGATATAGTTGCTATATTTTAGCTATAATAAAAATGAAGCTAGTAATTTCACAATAGAACTAAAATAATAGAGCTAAAGCAACTAAACAGAAAATGTAACAAGAATCAAATTCAAAAATAGACAAGAATTCATGTTTTCCTTAATATGTCCTATTGCCTTGGTTTTCTTGTGCTAAACTATGAATCATGATTTACAAAACAATTTCAATGCAACAAATTAGGGAAACTGTACGCACTGAGTTTAGTGCAAGTACAAACTCAATCATTAGATTTTACACTGATTTCATTCCCAGCCCCCAAAAATGGTGGATGAGAGGCAGCAGTATTTTATCCTCTTCTGCCATTTCTACACAGTATGATAGAAAAAGTTAAGACGGTAGCCATGATGGTATGATTGAAGCGTGGCCTGTTTTTTTTAATGTCCACACTCTATGGTCATCATAGTCCTGTCCTCTAGAACTGTTTCTTGCCCGTCATTGAGATGACTGTGCACTTTTACAATAAAATAGCATTTATTGTAGAAAAAAAAAGGTGGAAGAGGAGCCAAAATTCTTTTTACCCCAAACTTTCTGCTACAGATCAGTCTCTGAAATTGCTACTTGCAACTTTACATCCTAGACTGGTATATGCTAACAAAACCTACGGTGCTGGATTCTTTACATAGCTCCTGCAAAAGGAAGTGGCTTACTTACAATCCTAGTAGTTCTTCCTTTAGATCATTGCAATTGCCACCCGATGTGATCTCCATGTGTTGAACAGTTTCAAGGACAAATGGTCTGACAAACTGCGTTAGAGCATTGAGGCACTGGCAAAGCCCATGCTGGTCTTCTTGCAGTTGCTGTGTTGTGTATGGAATGGGCAGACAGGAGAGTTGGCTCAAAATGGTAGACAGCGACAACCCCACTGAATATGCTTTCTTAGTATCAAGTTTAAGAAGTACTAAAAAAAAAAAAAGCAAAATACTTGTTAGAGAACATTCATGTTTATTATTATATGAGTATATAGACCAAAATACTTGTGGCATACAGATCTAAGAAAAGAACAACCGTTAGCTAACTTCAAAGATGTCAAGTCAAGATGTCAAGTGGTTTGCTTGGTTTGCTTTGTCGTGACATCTGAACACTGTGTTTGAACACCGTCTTCTGCTTCAGTTTACGTGAACCATGTTTGTCTTGTTCAACAAACTATAATTAAAGCAAGTCATGAAACAGGTGTAAAACCAGCCAATATTTAGCAATGTTTTCAGGAACTGCCACTCATGGCTTCGTATTAACCAGATTATGATTTAGCAAGTATAAAACTAGTGCCATGAAATATATCGCCTTATCCTCGTAATTCGTCACTTCCTGGATCTTAGGAGAGAGTTAGAAGTGATCTTTGGTTGTTTTCTAAAAAACACTTCAGGATTTTCACATATGTTTGTATAAGGGCTGTTTTTTAGCATCCTAGGAGTCTTTCCTTCCACCCCTCCCAAAAGATTAATTGATTAAGTGGATTCAATTGCCTCTCATTACTTTAACAGGTGTTAGATTGTAGTTTTCTTTAAATTTGTTCAAGTCTACTTAAAGAATGCTCTAAGTCAGGGGTGTCAAGCTCGCAATGTCATGTGACGTGTCGCGACGTATCGCGGCTTTTTTTGCCATTGCTGGCAATGGGGTGGGCGCAGTTTCGCTATGATGCATCCAGCCCATGGGCCGGCAGTTTGACACCCCTACTCTAAGCATTGTCCAACAGTTATAAGCCTTGGAAGACTTTTGAGAACCTTGTGTGATACCACTTAACCGCAACTAGATAAGCTATGAGGTGAAGTGTTCCCAAGTATATCTGCTGCAAATAAATTGGCAATCCATTTGTTAACATTTCAAAGTTTGAAAAGTAAGATGCTTGTTACCTTCTTGCAAAGGCTTAAGCAGAAGTAAAATAACTGAGGATGTCTGTTCCATAGAAGCTTGTTCAATCTGTTCCAGGAAGCCCAATATAAGCTCTTTTGCACTGCACATCTGCAAGAAAGAAAGAAAAAACTAGAACAAAGCTTCTAAGATTGCAGGAAAGCAATGGGAAGCCACTTTTCTTTTGCTGCCAAGAAAACTACATGGACATGATGCCACTAGGAACTGAGCAGATTCGAAGGAAACTTCACTTTTCATCTTTATCTTATGTCAGACATGTCAAACACAAGGCCCGGGGGCCGGATGCGGCCCGCGAAGTGGTTTCATGTGGCCCGCGAAGCCATCCTGGAAACAGCGAGGGAATGGCCCCCGCTGCCTTGGCCCTGGCCCAGGCCGGCCGGGAGCCAATGTACAATTTTGTGGTGGCCATCTATGCTGAAACACATTCAGTCTTAGCTCCACAAGGCCGTCTGGAAACAGCGAGGAACCAGCCCCTGCTGTGTCAGCCTGCCCCCTGGGTGCATGCTGGAGAGGTGTCACCCTTTGTGAGGAATGACGAAATGGACCATGCTGTGGCGCTTGCCCCGGTCCCACCCCCTTCTACCAGAGACCCTCAGATCTGTCCCACTCCTACCCAGGCCCCCACAGGCACCCTTGACGCGAACGATGTAGAGCTGGCCATACCCACCCAGTAGGCCACACCCACTCCATCCACGCCCACCCAGTAGGCCGCACCCACCCGGCCCCGAGGGCAACCACAATGCTGATGCGGCCCTCAATGAAATTGAGTTTGACACCCGTGTCTTATGTGGTCATCATTACCATGTTAAGAATATTTCACATGGGTATATTTTGCATGATACTTAAAACAGTTACACATCAAGTTATATTTTTACGTACTAATTGGTAAAATAAAATATATGTTATCATTTTAATCAAGACATTTATTGACCTAAGCAAATAAATATTAAAACCCAAATGAAGTTAAATTTTATATTTTACTAGATTTTTATCCTACCTTAATTACTTTTTAAGTAACTCCTAATGGTGAACATGCATAATACCCTTTCTCCTATTTTCCCCACGACAACCCTATGAGGTGCGTTGGGGTGAGAGTGTGTGATTTGTCCAAAGTCACCAGTTTTTCATGCCTACGGGTGGACTAGAATTCACAGTCTCCTGGTTTATAGACAGCACCTTAACCACTACGCCAAACTGGCTCTGTATAGGTTTTCTGAAAAAAGAAACAGTTCTACTTCTCTTCTATGAAAACAGAATTGATTCTATTTAGCTATTTAAATAGAATCAATAGCAATTCAAATGAAAAATTTTGACTGGCCAATTTATATTACGTTCTATTAGAAATCCTGATTGTGCAAAATAAGTGGCTGACACTCTCCTAAACGATGCTCTTATTGAGTATCACTTCATTCCTTCACATTCTCAAAAAAACCTTTCAGTATATTTATGGAAATGGAGAAATTAAATGTTCCAGTTTCTTCAGTTCGGTACCCATTTCTTGATAAGTTGCCTACAAATCTGAGAATGTCTATGGTCTATATCAGCATGAAAGAACACAACCAAAGGACAATCTTTAAAAATGCTACTACAAAGTGGTTTACAGCACAAATGTTGCAACTTACTTCTACCAACTTGTCTAGCATTTTCATACAATATTCTCTCTCAGTATCATCTTGCCCTTGTTTCAGCATACATTTGAGTATAGGTCCTATAAGATTCCAGCCCATATTTTTTATAATAACCTGTAGAGGGAAAAAATTCAGCTGCAGATTTAGAAAAAGACAAAAAAATTAAAAATTAAAAATAGATATCAAAGGCAAATACAGTGGTCTACATTAAAACTGTTCTATGTCCTCACATATCATTAATCAGGAAGCTTCTGGAAATCCATTTCAAGAGCAGATGAGCTAATGCCCTCCAGATGTTGCAAAGCTCATTACTGAGGTTGAGAAAACAACATTTTGGAAGTGGTAGTTCAGAATACCTGGTGATAAGCCCCAAGTTCTCAAGACCTATAGTAAATTAGCAAAAATATGCTAAGATTAAAAGTTCTACATCCCACCTGCAAATATGCACTTTTTAAAAAAAAAATCACACATTTTGGCATCTAACAGTCTAAAAAAAGAAACATACAGTATTTTAGAAGAATTTCAAGAAATACCCGTTATGGAGATGTGTCTTCTTCTACTTCTCAAAGGTCTCAAAAATTCCAATTCATGCCAACAAATATATATTTTTGCACGCCATTCTGCTCATGTTAATCCAGTTAAAGAGCACCTTCCCAAATAAACATATAGTTGGGCAGCAGGAGAATTTCACACATCCAGGTTTGCTCATATGATACTAAGCTAATATTTTAGCACCAGGTGCAAACAGGACTCACTTACAGAAGGCTGTTTATAATAGAAAAACTTATTAGCAGAGAATATTCCTGTATAGTTCAAATGCATGGATCCCAATAGTACTGCGATAAATTCAAACAGAAGCTTAATTTATTTAGTGCATTAAAATGTGCAATCTGTTTTATGGCATAGCCTGTTGTGTCAATTTGACTACTGACCTGCATAAAAAAGGGTTTATTGCTTTGCAATTAACATTTATTCAATTGACCATGGTTTACTACAATATGCAAACTCAAATCTTCATTTTGTATTTATCCCTTTTCACATGAAATGTTTTTCCTAACAACATTAAGAAACGTTTTATGGATATTTAGCTAGCAATGCCACATGCCACGGGAACTGGACATATATTACTATCAAACATATGGAACAAAGACGATTGTAGAATATTTGTAGCTCAGGGTTGAAATGAGGGGTTCTTGGTGCTCTCTGAGCTTGGTTACTTTTCCTGCAGGGGTTTCATTACCCAAACTATGTAACATCATCAGTATCTGATGATGTTACCTTGTTTGGGTAATGAAATGTCTGCAAGAAAAGAACTAAACTCAGAGAGCACCAAGGATCCCTCATAGATAATCAGAGAGCACCAAGGATCCCTCATAGATAATATACCTTGGCTTAAAAACAAATTCACAAACTCATGCATCAACCTTTCCCATTGGTCCTTCTGAATGGGAATCAATTGCCTGATGATATTCCAGAAAGTTCCAAAGAACTGGCTATTTACCCAGGTCTTGGAGAGC